CAGCTCTGGATTGGGAACAGAAATGACATCACTTTCCTCACCAGCTCCCCCTAACTAGCTTCTATATAATATGTGATCTGAATTATTATGAATCATCCCAATGACAAATGTCCATGTAATGCCATAGATGTTCTGTGTGAGTGGATTTGTTTTATTCAGGTGATGATCTTGATAAGTGTAATGGCTTCCCTGTGAGTGCTGTAGAGTCTGCAGGGGTTCCTGTGAGGTTCTGCATGCACTGAGGAAGCCTGTGGGTTTGAGAAGCTAACTGGGTCACTGAAGCCAGACTTCAAATCCCAGCACCACCAAAGCTTACACTGTCATGAAGAAGTATTTGTTCCCTTCCCTGCAGTTTTTTATCTGCTTTTGCTTTCTTGTGGCACTTAGATGTTTCAAATAAATGCAGATATATGATGTAATATGATGCAGAGATAACCTGAGTAGGTACAAATTATGTTCTGTTTAGCCACATTAGATGATTTTGAGCTTGAACAGCATGTTGTAAGGTCATTCCACAACATCTCAGTTGGGTTTAAATCTGGACTTTGACTAGGTCACTTCAAAACATTTATGAAAATATCCGTCCAATGTTTTCTGCTTAGCCCACCTTTAACAATAGATTTCTATAAGATCAATTAACTTTAGATTACCTCATTAATCGATAGCTTGCATCAATGCCGTACAATCAACAAATCACTTTTAACAGATCTTGTCTGACAACATGAAGTAGGCTAAAAATCTCAAGAATTACACATTATACATTTATCTAAAGACATTTAAGAGCAGATGGAAAACAAAGCCATTAGGAAAGGGTTGTAAAACCAGCTCATGCTCAGTGAGACTTGAGTTATGTAGCAGGTCAATGACCCAGAAAATATGGATCAAATGAGCAAAAAATTAAAGATTTTGTTTTGGTGGCTCAGACATCTGATAAGTTTTCTCTTGTATCAAGATGGCGGACCACCTTTACATAACATGAAAGGTTATATTTTTCATAATATGATAAATAAAAAAATAATTTATTAAATACTTAAAAAATTGTGTCAGCTGTATTAGACATTGACTGAATAAACAGAAAATTGTGATGAAGTGAAACACTTAATCCCCCATGAACAGAGATGTTCATACAGAGGTCTGTGGTTGTCTGTGGCTCTTGTCAAAACTTTGTTCTTTAAAGTTCATTAATTCACAACAGCCCTCAAAATAAACCATCCTGAGGAACTTGTGTTTATATTTAAAGAGAGAACCACATAAAGTCCATTTTACATCCCACACAGGACTCATTTTAGACAATTTATCTTCTTGTATGACCCCGCCATCTTTATTTCTGTATCAACTGGCGCCGCTTAAGGATGACAAGTGGTGACCTCCGCTGGATGGCACCCAAACAACAACACTAAAAGGAAATCTAAGTGGACGTTATTAGTTGATTGATTAGAACTCATTTTAATTTTGTCAGCCATAAATCAACATTTAATTGTAATTATTTATTTGCATCCCTATTGTACAGGTCTGGCAGTGACCTGACCTGCTTGTTGTTGGATGAAGTCAACTTTTCAAAAAAACTGGGAACTCAGGGCTAAGTCATGGTTTAACAAAGGAGACAATTTCCATTAATGAGTGAAATCAGTAACATTAATTCAGGTTATCTTTGTCGGATATTAAAATGCTGGATGATCTGACACTTTTAAGAGTGACAAAAAAGCAGAAGGGAGCAAATACTTTTCGACAGCACTGTGTGAGGGTTCCTACATGCACAGATAAAACCTGTGTGTTTGTGAAGCTAACTGGGTCACTGCAAGAACATTTCAAATCCCGGAACAACTCCAACTTATCTGTTGGACTTCAGTTCCAGCTTTAAAGTAATGCTGCTGCTGTCTATTTCTTCCTAAACCCATGGATGAATATTGAGGATTGAGTCAAAGCAAAAACAAAACAGCAAAACAGAACAGCTCAGAAATTGGGTTCATATTTTCTATGCAGGTAATTTAGACAAGCAGCATGCAGAAGAAGAATGGGAGTGATTTCTCATTTACGTCTAATAAACTCCAATAAATATGCAGCCCAGCTTCTCCTACAGCAGTCAGTGAGAGCGCAGCTGTCATCGGTTTCACCGTCTCAGCGTGAGTCAGGAGAGGCCCTTGGGCTGAAACAAGTGGCTCCTTCTTCCTCTCATGGACCATCAGTCTTTAACTGGACAGCGCCAGGGAGTTTCCTTGTAAAGAGGCAACTCTCCAGAGATTGTTATTTATTGCTCTTGCTGGTTGTTAGAGCAGCTAATGCCACTGGCATGTATTTAATCATCTGTTTCTCTTCTGTTCTGCATTTTTGATTGTTTTCTTATCAGAATCACACATTATTATCAGAATGGACTCTCTTATTTCTGCCATTCTCTCTTAGTTCATGATTCCTTACAGTTTTTTGGTGTTTAGTTAATAAGACACACCTGTTCATTGCTCCACTAACCAGCCTCCTCTGTTCATATTCTCCACTATTTTTTTTCCAGTCATTGTCAGATCTTCCTGTTTCCTGCAACGCAGTTATTAATGTTTGCCTTCAATAACTTTTTAAAACAAACATTTAATGAGACATTCATATGGCAGCAATTCTCTTTATTGCAGAATTGAAAAGCAGAATTGGAGCCTCCTGCACAACCAACAAGGATGCAGCAAATGGTTTCTGGATGGTAAGTCAACAACAAAACACTTGTCTTTTCCAGCAGTCACTGTACAGCGGTAAAACCAGTTGACCAAACGTGCTTGAGCTCAGCTTGGATTGCTAGGTGACAGGCTGGACTTGGTTGGGGTTGCTAGGTACCAGCACAGTCTGACTTAACGATTGGGAGGTTTTTGAAACGGCTCACTGTCCAGGCACCATAAAACATTAACCTATTGCCATAAAACAGCTGGGCATTTTTTTTAGGCACAAAAATGCCTATTTTGCACATTTTGTACAAAGATGTACAAAATGTGATTTTTGCATAATAGGTTTCCTTTAATACATCTCAGAAGACTATAGCAAAAGCTGCAAAAGCCTTTCACGCTCCGGATGATTCTTTATGTGTGTCGGCTTCATGTAGTGTGACAGTACTCAAACAGTTTTTTCTACTCAAAGGCACACAGCTAAAGTTTCAGTCCTCTTGTCACTGAAGCAGTTCTTCCTCTCTGCTGTCCTCATACCAAATAAGATGGAGTGAAGAAAAACTGAGAGACGGCTAATTAAAGCAAGAGTGAAAGACACAGGCTTAAGGCTGGTGCCTGCCATGACAGGAAAGGGTGAAGCTGATGTGTGAAGTAGAAAATGACCTCTGCAGGAGGAGGAATTAACTTAAATATGAGGCTGATATTCATATTTAAGGACTCAACAGTTTGCTGTCCTTCTCGCAGTCTTCACTGAGCACTATGAAAAGAGAAAGAGTTCAATGCTGACAACTTGAGGAGACAGGTATAAGCGCAACTTTAGAGCTTGACTGTGTCCTCTGATCCAGAAGAATCAAAGACAAACAGGACCTGGGATTAGACACTTCAGACTTACACATTGTGACATTTCACAGCCCCACTGCAGATACACAGGACTTTTTTTGGTCCTGCTTTCACGTCCAGACGTTAACGTGAAGTGACATGCTTGTTAAGACAGCAGCAGAAGTCGCCCAGAATCAGTGTTAAACACCAACCAGGATAGTACATTTACAATGAATGGCGTTATCTATGTGAACCCAAACAAAGTTTGTCACAAAAATAGCAAAAGCTACCACAAGAGCCAACAGGAATTTCATTAAACTGCTCATGTTTGGTCTTAAAGCTGCACTGAGGAAGGCATTTTCAAAAAAATGTTGAAACCTCTGACTCACTGATCACCTATAGCAGCAAAGTTAGCTGCTTGGTTTTAGAGCATTTGGGGGAGAAAAACAATGCAACTCCAGTCTTTACCGGACCGAAGCAGATAAAATTCGGTTAACAACAGCAATGAAACCTTCATAAAAGCACATTGCTCAAGGCATTTTTAAATGGTTACAAGAAAATTAGGCTGTTTGGAAATAACACAGGTCCATGCAAGCATGCCTCTTAACAAATACTGTTCTTTTGTTGGTGTTGACATTTATTTCTGCAGCTCTATCTACAAAAATCTGAAACGTCTCTCTCATGTCTTCTATGGACGGCTTTTATCATTCCTGCTGCTCCTTAATTCTCAGGGAATTTTACGTGGATCAGACTCAAACGCACCAGATATTTCTGAAATATTGGCCTAATTTTATGTTCTGCTGTTACTCCAACATCCACACCTACCTTTCCCACTTACACCTTATTGAATGCCAGACAGAGTAGATGCTGGAAGAGGTTACCTCCAGAAAAAAATGACATATATGTCATGTAAATGGCAAGCAGAAGCAGAGATTGGAATGCTTTAGTTTTTATGTTTTTTATAGAAGAATGACCGAGCTTTCCAACACATTGAAATAATTTTTGTCCTAGTAGTGTTGAGAACATTTCCACAGATTTCCAGTAAATTTTTAGTTTAGTACTTTAAGTAGTTAGACACCCATAACCAGCTAAAAGCCAAGCTTTGATGTGCCTAATTAGAGAACTGAGATGGTTTATTTGACTTTTTCCACACGATTGTATAATTTGTTTAGACTTTTTTTTTTAAAGAACTTAACCAAAAAGTTATACATGAATAAATAAAATATCAACTATAAAGTTTTAGTGAAAGCTGCTTACATCAATTTCTTAAATATTGTAGGATTAGTTTGTTTGCTGCCCATTGATTGAACTAATAAAAACGTTACTAATCTTGCATGCTTGGGTCATTTAAAGATCAGAACCAGAAATGTCTTTGGTAAGAAAAATAAACCAAATTGAGTTTAAAGGTTTTTGTTATGGAACCAAGTTTTTCCTAGTTTAATAAACCCTTTCCCCATAAGAGTAGACATATTAATCACAACAGCATTGGTTCTATGGGAGACCAAAGTTTAAATCAGAAAAAAATTTTTTTAAGTCATCTTAGTTTTAGATTATTTTAATAGAAATCCAAGGAACAACAGAGATTAAACATAACGTTTATGTGTGTATACAGTGCTTTCCTTTTTTGCCACCACAGGTGAAAAATACATGAATGCATGTCACAAAATCTCCCACACACCTTGAAAACATTTACCAAGTCCAACAAAGGAGATATCAGCTCAATATATTTGCACAAATGTTCTCTGACGGTAGATGATACTTTATGATTGGAGTGAACTTTAAGACATAAAGCATTTGAAGCTAAGATACATGCCTTTAACTATAGCTTTTAAAAAGTGTTTTCTCTCTTCTTACATTCTATTTCTAGAAAATAGGTGTTTATTTTATGATTCTATATCCTACGTTGTTTGTTCACAAATGTCACAAATATTCGGACTCTTTTTTATGCTACAACATTCCAGTATACTCACATATAAGGATCGGCGACCCATTAATGTTTCACTTGGCATCGCAGTTCTGACAAATGGAGGACAAACACCGTGACCTCCAGAAAAAGAAAGGAGTCTCACACTGGCCACCATGGGGGGTGCAGGGCTAGTCGAGGACGGCGGAGGGAGGGGGACGCACGCAGCAGTTGGGCCGCCTGACATTTTGCAGCATTGACCTGAAAATGTTCTGCTGCCTCCTTTTGTTCTTTTTCCCACGCTGCGGCGAATCAACGCCGGAGATGGATTTTCGGAAGGAAGTCTGAGCAATCAGTTTCCTCTCCTGCTCCCTGATTTTGCACTGCAGGTGGCTCTGAATGGCAAAACCAAGCGACTCCGGGTCCACAGACGCCCCATAGACCTCCCACGTCATCCCCTGTTCGTCCCAGACAACGTCGTGGACGCTCTTATCCTTCTGCATCCCCGACTGATCGTCCTCTTCGTCGTTCTTCTCTGGCTTTATCCCCTGCTCGGCCGAATTTGTTTCCGACTTTGATGCTGCGTTAGCGGTCGTTGTGGTGGCTGGCGGACCCTGAGAAAACACAGCATTGTTTCTGTCAGCAGAAGCGCTGGCTGTCTCTGGGGAGGGAGCTTTAGCGGTGGAGGATATTTCAACTCCACTTGCCACTGTGTCCTTCTTGTTGCTGTGTTCGATGTTGATTTGATAAACTGGCTGAATGCTGCTCAGAGCTGATCCAGGTTCCTTGGGCTTGGCTCCTAACCTGGAGTCAAGCTTTTGGGCCACAGTTGTTGAGCACAAACCTGCAGCTTGATTGGGACACATCTCCGCCTCGACGGTGAGTCTCTCTGAGGTGGAGAGGGAAGTTGTGTAGATCTGATAGGAACCCACGGCTTCATTAACTGGGAAAACAACAGCTAGACTGTGCGCCTCTTCCCTGGGGACTCCACTGCCAGCGAAGGGCAGCAGACTCGGACTTGTACCCACAGCTTTACTGGAAGTCTCTGCTACGGCCTGGACCTCCATATCATGACACTGCTTGGCGGTCGAAGCGAATGAGGTCATAGTGGAGGCCTCCTTGAACTGTGTGCTGAGCTGCTCTCCTGTGCAGACAGCTGTGTCAGTTTGGCTGGTTTCCTCAGACACCTGCCCACACGTTGGCTTGCTTTTTGCAGCCTGGGGCACACCAGATGAATCCTTCTGTGAAGATTCAGGGTGATGTTTATTGGAGGAGACCTGTGTTGCCTTTACTACTGGGAAATCCCTCTCTGAATGTGATGAACATATATTTGTAACTGTAGTGTGGGTTTCTGCTCCTTTACCTGCTGGTGGAGGCTTAGTATAGGTAACAGTTTCCATCCTGTGCTCAGGTTTTCGTGAGTTATCTGGTTCTTGGATTTTCTGTAATGATGTGGTAGATTTGTTTTGTGGAGCCTTAACATCCTGTTGAGGTGAAGGCACTGCTTTTTGTGACTGACTGGTGCTGCAGAGATTTTTATTTGTATTTTTATCACTGGTCTCTTGTGCTGTGGGTTTGGTTGAAGGTGCCATCTGGACAGGCGCTGCCTCTGAAGGACTCGTCTCTTTTGCAATGCGTGCGTCGATCTTTGATGCTGCGGTTGCAGTCGGTAAACCAGCGGCACACGTATCCTTTCCATGAGACGTTTTTATGTTAGCATTCGAGTCTCTGTGGTCAGTTTTTGTCTCGCTTCCAGCTTGACCTGTTAATGACAGGTTAGCAGAGTGCTGCTCACCAGCTGTCCCGGGTTCAGATTGTGTCTGCTTCCCATTGCTGCCTGCAGGCATGTCTGCCACCGCACTGCTAACTGCTTCACCGCCCTTATTTGACGAGGATTTATGGATGTGTGGGACAGGGTTGGCAGTGGCACCTGACACAGGCGGGTTATCCTGCTGCTTAGAAGATGTGAGGGCGGCGTTTGGACAAACCTGAGAGAGTTTGAGGTGCGACTCGTCACCCCAGTTGGCGTTAGACTCCTTGTTGGCCAGTGGGTCTGCCACAGCCAGCTGAGGCACCATCTGGACTGTCACTGTCCTTTTAGGATTAGTTCCCATTCCGAATTCACAGTTTGGATCTTCAGATATTGTTGTACTCCAAAAATGTGGGCAGACAGAACCTTTATGCAGCTCCCTAAAAGAAGAGGGTAGAAGAATAGAAGTGGCTTTACTTTAAATATACACTTATCAATTCATCACCGAGATTTTTTTTTGGATTAGACCTGCATGACACACTTTGTCAAATTGATTTCTCACTTTTTGTAAATTGCAAAAATAGCTTGTTAGAGTGAAAGCATGAGAACAGTCTATACTGTCCTCATTTTTACAGATGTTTTGAACTCAAAGAATAAAAAAAGATGCACAATTAGACTTTTACTTTGTAATTTTGTATTAGACACTTTTACTGTTTGAAAAGTACAATGCATTAGACTTTTCATTAGACTTTTCAAACCGTAAAGCCACGGTTTTCTTAGACCTTCTTGTTTAGATTTAGCTAAATAGCAGTGTGTAACTTTTATTTCTAAAAATATATCTTTTGTACATATTTGTTAAAACTATCACCATGTTGTGATAATATAATAAGAGATAATCTGTGAAAAAAGTCCAGCTTCTCTGACTTCCCCGAATTGACCTGGTGTCATCTGAGAAAGTACACAACCAATCAGAAACAACCAATCAGAGCCAGGAGGAGAGTCTTAGTGCTGTCAATCATTCTTGTGTATGTGCTGCACAGACACTCCCCCTTTCTCTCTGCTATGCTTCAACTGGTTCACCACAATGGAGCCTGCTATGAATGCTCAGGCCAGTTATAATGGCCACTGACCATTATCGCATTTAGCAGCACGTACTTGATTTTGATTGACAGCACTTAGACCCTCCTCCTGGTTCTGATTGGTTGTTTTTGACTGGGAGCTGTTCATTTCTTCAGACAACAATAGTAGCTCATGGAAGGAGGAGAAACTTGATCTTTTCACAGATTATATTGTCACAATATAGTGACAGTTTTAACAAATATGTTAAAAAAACATTTTCGTAAAAGTTGCGTACTGTTGCTTTAAAGTGAGAGTTTTCCAGGTTTTTTGTATTTGTATTTTGTATTTTGTGAGACCTGATTAAGAAAAAATTACTTATTTGAACACAAATAATTGGTGCATCACTAGAAACAGATCAGATTATTCAGATCAAATAAAATTTGCTTTATAGACTGCAGTTACAAACTGTCACTCTACGTTAAGCTTCAGCTGCTCTGTCTTTTGTATTTGTGTTTTTGCTGCTGTCTCCACACCATGCATCACAGCAGGTCCTACTAGCATCTTGTAAACCTTCCCTTCTCTCTTGCAACTATCCAGTCACAAATCACTCCTGACACTCATCTCCTTCCACTCCATCTTGCCTGCAGTCTCTTCTTCTCCTCCCTTGAGCAAAACCTGTTGCTTTGATTGGTTGACCTCAGATACTTACTAAAGTACGTCTCCTCATTGTTGCTTCACTGTTGCACCTGTCTGCTTCTCATTCTCACATGCCTTCTGTCTTGCTTCTGCTAACTTACATTCCTTCACCCTACATACAGCACATTGTTCTCTCCAGGCTCTTTACTTTTAATGCATATCGTAACATTGTCTGCAAACGTGATATCCTTCGGGACTCCACTGTTTCCCTCCTTCGATTTAACGACACCTTTCCACTGTCTTACTGTCTTTGTATGGGTCATCCTCCATCTTCACATACGTCTTTGCCTCTGTTCTTCTCTTGGCATCCTATCTTTTCTCTGGATCCTCAAAGACACAATATAACACCTTCTGACAACACTTTCAAAGTGAATGTCATAAATAAGGTGGTATTTCCCTGCAAGAAATGATTTTCACTTCAAAAATTCTTTCCCAAATCTCAACTTAGTCTCGATCAAGAGATACTAAGACATATAAATGTTGAACAGAGACTAAGTACAAATTCAGTTTGATTTAATGTTTATTACTGAGGTTTTAGACTTTTTTGATCACTTAACAATTACAAAAATCATAAATCTTTATATTTACAAATTATGTAATGCAAAGTAGTTTAGGTATGATATTCCTGAACAACTCTCTCTGAGGTAACAGGGATGTGATGATTCAATCAGCTCACAGAATGAGACAATGCAAGGTACAATGTTCACAACAAAAGGTTAGATCTCAGCAATATTATGAGGAAAAGAAAGAAGCTGTGTTTTTTATTTATATATACAGCAAATAATTCACAAATCAAAAACTGTATTAAAATGTTTACCTATTTTAGGATACTTTGAGTCTAAAGTGCTCCTAATGCATCTTAGAAAAACAAACAAATAAAAAACAAATGAAATAAAAGCACACAGAAAATGCTAACTGTGTTTTCACAAGTAAAACAAATGTTTCATCAATCTCAACCTTCTCTGACCAGAGTATAATTTCCAATCCAGGTTTGAAAATAAACAATTATCTGTCCAGTTAGATTTCTGAACAACAAATGATCAAAGACATTCCAGACAAAAGAAAAAAGAAGCTAACTTTAGCATCTGAATTCTCTACAAATGAACTGAATCATGTCTGTCAACTTCTCTTTCTGTCAGCTGAATACTCAAATTGCTGCCGGATTTAAAAGCGCTGTCAGCTTCGAAGTTGCTTTTGTTTCCAAGTGTTGTCAGACTCCAGGAAACTCAAGAATAATTTTCTTTTTCTTTTCTTCAAATTAAAGCCACCACCACAAAGTCATCACAACATCGCATCTCTATTAACCCTTTAACAATATTTTTACCAGCGTTGCACTGACACACATCTCGTATAATGAGCTTAAAGTTGCACAGTTCACCAGGTGTTTGCTAGTTGCTGCTGGCTAGTCTGAAGGATCTGAGCTGGGGAGTAAAGAGAGAGGGACGTTGTCTGAGGTGGATGTTCAGAAGGTTGGAAACTTCAGCCTAGCGGAGGAGTTGCATCTCGAAGGTGGGGCTAAGTCCACCCAGGTGTTTTGCACAGCTGAACGGTTGTCATGGAGATGAAAGGATTTCTCAAACATGCATGGAAGACTCAAGGCAACACTCTATGTATATTTTTGATGAGGGAACAACATCATAACATGATGCAAAGCTAAAAAAAAAAAACGTACTACCCCTGTGAAGCACACAACTTCCTATGTCAACAAAGTTACATTCTGAAAGCAGCTGCAGACTTGAACTTGCCAACCAACACTGTGGGATATGTGCCTCGACATGTCTTTGCACTCCTAATGGATGGCATGTAGATCTCTGCGGACCTGACCTTGTGGAAGAACAGCACTAGGATCAGGAAACAGGCCCAGCAAACACTGCTCTCTCCTGGTAGCATCCTCGCAGCATACTACAGAGCTGTGGTTCTGATACTACAGAGCTGTGGTTCTGATACTACAGAGCTGTGGTTCTGATACTACAGAGCTGTGGTTCTGATACTACAGAGCTGTGGCTCTGATACTACAGAGCTGTGGCAGAGAGTATGTTGACATAATGCAGATGGTGGTGCGAACAATCAAAGTAGCTTTAGGCTCTCCCTTTGGGTGCATTTTTTTTGTGAATTATGTAAACATACAGTGATCCACACCAGTATGCAGACAGATTTATTGAGGATACTCCTCTTTGACAGCAGCTCTGCCTTCAACATCATCACTCCAGACATACTGGTTATTAGCCTTCTCCTGGATAAGACTAACGAGCAAATTTCCCTCAGACAGTGAAAGTCAGGTTCCACCTCTTTCCCTCCGGTAGACTCAGAACTAAATCTCCCCAGGGCTGCGTTCTAGGCCCCCTGCCTTGTTCTTTATAGGCACATGACTGCACTCCTGCTTACACTTGTTAAACTGTAGACCAATTTTAATGTAGTCTCACCTCTTCACAATAAAGCAAAAATTTTATTGATGGGTAAAACCTAGTTTGGACAACTGTGTGGTTTTAGAAATAAATCGGACTACTTTGGTCGCACTGATGAACTTTAAAAAGCACAGTAGTGATACAGAAAGAAATGCAAATACAGTTTCAGTTTTTTTATCCATAAAATAACTGATCACAAACTACATTTGTGTAAATTACATAGATATAGAGACAGAGGAAGTGCACAAGAAGACTGACTGAGTTGCTGAATGTGTGTTGTGGGGTTCCTCAGGGTTTGATACTTGGTCAACATTTCTTTTTATGTATACAATAATTTGTGTTTAGTTTCTAAGTTGTAGACATAATTTAAATTTCTGTCTGTAAAGGAAAAAAAATCTGAAATGTCCCGTCACCACGGATAAATCAAAATAAAGCTGAAATTTATATTGTTAGGTAAACCAAGGAATCGCTGCCAATATAGGATTTACTTTGAGAAAATCTGAGAAAATTCTTATAAAACAAATACAAACTTTATGATTATATTACCAAAGAAAGCTATGCAAACTGCAACCATTAAATTTTACCATTAATCCATAAACCCATTAACTATTCAGTGGTTATGCACATTTATATATTTGGAGAAATAACAAAAAATTATGCTCAAAGTGAAGAATAATCAGTTACTGCCTGGTACCTAGAAAGCGTTTAAAATGAGAAAAAAGAATGAACTCAGTGTTCAGAAAAAAATTTAATGTGATCATATATGTTTAACAGCATAGTTGTAGAAGTAGCGTTAGGTTAGTTCTGATTTGTTCTTTTTGTTAAATTTTGGTTTATGGGTTTTAAAGACTTAAAGAGGAGCAGCAAAAACAAATGAGGTGGATTAGCAGTTATTGTTAATAACTGATACTGACATACAGGAAATGTTCTTCTGGTGTAGATCATCAGATTATCATTCAGCAACAGTCTTCTGACAGAGGCCTTTTCAGATTTGCTGTAAGACTGACTGCTACTGGAGATCTTCACTGCCCACAGGATCACTGTCCACAACAACTCTGAAAATATTTGGACAAAATGAGATCTGACAATATTTAATTTCCCTCAGTGATAAAGTATTTCAATTAAACACTGTATCTATTATTCTGATTATGTAAAACTGTGCTATGTAAAATGTTTTATACACATTTTAAATAAAATATGTATAAAAATGTCAAAATCATACAATGTTAATATAAATTTTGAGTTTATTTGAAAGAGTATTTATCACATATGCTTTGTGCATTTTATCTTGTTAACTCTTATTGCTACATAAGCTTTAGGTTCAGCCTAAACCTCTTTGGTTTGTTTTGACCTTCAGTTTGTATGTTGCTAAACTGAAAAAACACACGTACATTTTCTTGGTGCATTTTGGCGCCTTTGTACGAACTAAAAATTGCTCAAACACCTACATCTCTTTAAGACCACAGTGCACTTATCTTCTGATGACTTCCAGCAGGATAAACCACCACGCCATGGTGAAGGTTAAATAATTAACGTTTTATCAACTTCCTTGAACATGACAATGAATTCACTGTACTGTGGTGACCTACACACACACTCTGTCTCAGTCCAAATGAGCCAGCACCTTTGGGACGCGGTTAAACAAAACATTCTCACTCTGGATGTGTTGCTGACATCTGCAGTAGGGCTAAAACGATTAAACGGATTAATCGTGATTAATGAATTATTAAAATAATTGTAAACTAATTTATTAGTCAATTAATCATTAATTGGAGTATATAGACTTGACATTTGCTGAAATAACAATGCAGTCAGAGCAGTAATTAAAAATATTTGTATTTAAGATTAAAAAAAAAAAAGTCCAACGCAGTATTGATAAGTTGAGCAGAAAGAGCTGAGGTTTTCACATGTTGAAATACTTTTTTAGCTGCAGTTGCATCCTTTGCTGCAAATGATGAAGAGTTCACTAAGCACAACATTTTATTGCATTGTAGGCAATTAATTGTTCATTTTCTTATTTAAAAAAGAAATCGAACTTTCTGTTTATTTTTACCTTTTCGTGTATTTCTAATATTAATAACATAAGTTTAAGTGGTCAATTGAAAAATCTGCAGAAAGTGCGATTTTATCCAGTTAATCAATTAATCATCAGAATGATTAGTAGAATAATCGTTTCCTAAAACAATCATTAGCTGTAATCTGCAGTAATAATGTGATGCATCATGCTAAAATGGAAACCTCTGAGGAAAGTTTATGATACCTTGGAAGCTATTATGTGTCATACAAGAGCGACCTGCAGAGGACAGTGAGGGGAGCTGGGAAAATCATTCAAAGATCCTCTGAGTTCCTCTCTGTTCCAGGATCTGTTTCTAAGCTGGTTTTAATATTTCTTTTTCCCACTTGAATCTGTTAAAGATCCCAGATGACTTCGGCGTCCTGTTGGATGCTGCTGGTCATACAACAAAATGGCACTAAACTTAATTTTTAGAGGGCATTCATTTATTCTGACCCATTTGCTTTCACAGCACTTTGCAGGGACATCTAGTCAGCAGCAAGCTGTGTTTACATCGTCTTTTGTTCAGTAAAGGGATTCATGTAAATTGACTGCCTTGACCTGTGGTGCCTCATATTTCTCCAAGTGTTGATGAAGGTCTTTCATCGTTCTGCTCAACATGTGAAAGCACCATTCTGCAAACAAAGTGCCATCAGAAACAGATAAAATCATATATGTTGTATTTGCATTGAGTGAGGATGCATGCCTTAGTAGGTAGTACAGTAAGTTTTTTTTATTATAATGTTAACCTCAGCTTTTGACCATAGCCATCGTTTTATATGTGTATTGTAATGATTATATGTCATACAGCCTGTCTCTATGAGCACTTGGTTGTTATCAGCATAATTAAAACAGAAACAGTTGGTTGGTGGTTTGGGTCATGGACAGGTTTGGCCCATCTGTGTGTGTTTGCTCTGCCACAATGAATCCGTCTGTCAGTCCTCAAAGCGCAAATGTTTATAGAGACCGTATCCTGGCTGTAATCCTCGCTGGTTACGGGTTTTTTTAATCATCTATGGAGCAGTTTGCAAATGACACGAAACAAAAACGGGACTGCAAAGCAGTCTGCATTCAAGCGATGCACTCGACCTATTCAGGCCAATTAAGATCTGTGTCATGCACCGGAGCTCCTTGTCTCTGAGATTTGCAGCGCTGATCTGACCTTGCAGACATCTGCGAATAATTAACATTCTGATCATAAGGAAAAAACGAGGTCGCTTTACCTTGATGTCCCGTGCGATCGGGTGCCGTTTGCGCGCCGCTGTTGGTGAGATGAAGCAAAACCCCGGGAATGAATATGGAAAATTCACCCCAGTGTCGGTGACACCAAGCCACGCCTTCCTCCAGTCTCAGAGGTATTGATCTTCCGCGGCCGAGCAGCGCCAAATCCGAGCCCGGAGTGGACCGACTGACCGTGCGCAATGAGTCACCGCTGGCTGACCGACGGACGCCGCTTCCCAGCTCTTTGTTACAAACTGAGGAGCGTTCATGAAGCTGCCCGCTTTGCAGCAGCATCCCAGCCAGACTGAGCCGTGCCAGGCAGCATGATGAAGGGATGAATGGGAGATGGGATGCAGCATCCTATCTGTGGCCGCCGCAGGCGATCACAGGAGGAGGGTCACTTATTGCGCTGCAAATTTATTACTTTAAGGTCCTGCTGCTGCTGCTGCCTCCTGAGGAAGGCGATCATTTTCCAGGAGCACAGAAAGGTTATTTCATCAGCGCCCGTTTCTGTCCTGCACAGATGGGTTCGTGAATGAACATTCAATCTGAAGCGGCGCTTTTGACTCAGTTGAAATGTTTTAAAATTAGATTATTTGCTGGTTTTTCATTTTCTGTGGCCGGTGTGGACGTCGGAATAAACGACTTTATAAGGGGGCAGAGGCGCTCCCAGAAAGTTTTGAAGATGAGGGCAAATAATAATTCAGCAGTGGTAAACCAAAACCAAAGGGTCTGGAGTTTTACTTATGCATGCTGGTGTGTCCAAAAGTGATATTTAGGTCTTATTTAAAATAAATCCCGATTTTCTTTAGGAATTTTTGAACAAATAAATATTTGTAAGTTCAGGTTTCCACATATAACAAAAAAATAAATAAAAATAAAAATCTGCTTTAATATGTTAGAAAATGCTTTCTTAGCCCCATAAAATTGTTATTCTAGTACTTTAACTCTGTTAAGGGAACTGAGGATAGGATCCTGGAATAATTTGAGAAAGGATTGACATAAAAAAACCTGATGTGAAAAAACAAACAGATAAATAGACATGCAAATCATTAAAACTTGTCATTCATCCTAATTCCATTAATAAAAAAATATAAAAGACTGACTGGCTAGTTGTTGGTGGTAAGGGAAGTGGCACAGATGGAAAATTAACCTTTTGTGTTATTAGATATAGAGTCGGTACTAAAGGTTTAAAGAAATGCTTTTTTTATCATTCGTTTTTTTGTGTTCTGCACCTAATTACCAAAAGACATCATGAACCCTTCTAGAACTTAGCAGTTCTGTGTTTGCAATACCTGAGATACTGGCTGGACACCAGTGTGGTATGCCCCACATTGTCTGTCAGAAATTAACAAAATAATCACAAATGCGGGCAAGAGAGAGTCAGAGGTGGATGCAAAATATTTCATGTCAAATAGAAACTTACAATTGGATCAAATGAAGTACATAAAACTTAAAAAAAACATAAACAAAGCAGGAACATGGAGGGAAGCTGACGCATAGCTGAGCAGATGAACCTGCAGAACAGATATAAGAATAGCTCAAAACCGAAGAAGACAGGAAAACTCAGAAGCATGAAGCTAACAGGAAGTAAAGAGAAAATAGAAACTCAGAAGCATAACTACTCAACAGATTAAACAAAGTCCAACACATGACAATCACAATTTTGTGTACTTTTAAAGATTTATTTGAACTTTTTGCTTGGTGCTTGATTATACAGCATGTAACTACTGTGAATTTTAATGACAGTAAACAATAACTGGTGCAGACGTTAGCAGTTATCTGGACTTTTCTCAGATTCAAACAGGATCAAAAGCTTACTGCCCCCACAATCATATTTGGATATCTTTCTTTGCAAGTTGCATCTTCTGCTGTCAGATTTTTGGAGCCATCAAGTAACTTCTTGCTTGGAAATTTGACCTCTCTGCTAACAGAATTGGTAGAGATCCCTGACACTGCTGCATCTCTATTCTCTCTGAAGCTTTTTCTGGATAAATAAAGGAAGTAAAATCTAGTAGTTTAATGTTTACTTTATCTATTGCAGTGTTCTTAGGTCTAAAAACTTCTCCTTGACACTCTAAAAAAAAAACTAAAAAAAAACATGTTTTTGACTGTGTGGCTGAAATTGCTAATTAATGTGTTGTCCTTGCACAATCTAATTCATTTAATTTCAACTGTCAAATTTCTAAAAAAAATCTGACACATTCATACAGAAAATAGTTTTAGTGCAAAGCAATGAAAGGTGTTTAAGACATGAAACCATCTGTTTATTTTTTCAAACACTTGCTGCTTTCACATTTGCAGTGAACAGGTGTACACAGCCCACTTATTATGCAGTAGTAGGACCGTTTATGAATCCTCTGATATTTGCTAATGCGCTGCAGTTGACCTGCTCTTCTCCGCCTCTCACTACTTGATTCATTCTCCACAGGGCAGCAGTTGGTTGAGTTCAGGCATTAATTTCAGACTGCTTTCTGCCTCTGATATGGAGAAAATACACATGCAAATTTCGTTGTAGATGTTTGGATCATTTAAATCTCTCTCTCTGATTCCTCTTTAGCTCAAGTTTCTTATTATGTTATTGTGGAAAGATTAAAAGTGGCTCCACTTCTCTGGGTAGTAAGATTTACTCTTCTGTAATATTTCACAGCGTTGGAGCATAAGAGGGAAATCTTTGACCACTAATTCTGTAGATTCTCCAGATTTCTGGGTTTCCAATAAGATTTAGATCTAGAGATGAAGAAGGTTGACATTTAAGTTATAATTTTTGGTTTATTATCCCACTCAAAGAATTAATGACCAAAAATTACCAGGTTACTAACAGATCCATCAGATTTTGACTTCAAATTATCTGGTAGTCCAAAGAATTCATGAAGCCATACACTGCGACAAGGTTTCCTGGGCTTTTAAATGAGAAACGAGCCCACAGCATCACAGATCCACCACCATACTTAACAGTAGAAACAAAGTACACTCTCACATGTGTTTGCAAAAAGCTCAGTCTTTGTCTTATCTAACCAAAACATAAAAATCCCTCCACAGTTCTAGATTCAGGAAAGTAAGACTTGTAAGGACAGACAACATTTTTTTAAAATTCTTTTAAATTGACAAATAAAATCTTAAAATTACAAAATATTCTTAGTACAACATAAGTTTTGTATATTCTTTGTCCAGGTTTTTACTTCTATTACAGTTTTTTAGGATTATAAGGCCACACATAGTCAACCCCTACTAATTTTTTAAATTTTGTTTAGAAAATGTATGTCCTGCACTATTTATGTTTTGAATCTAAAAAAATCTAACAATTTCATTTAAAATTTTTCAAGTTTTAGTTTCTTATCTGAACACACAAGAAAATTAATGTCACATAAATTTTTGCATTAAATAAATAAATTTTAAAAAAATTGCTTTGAACTTGACGGTTTTGTCCCTCAGGACAGAAAGTTTGGACACCTCTGGTCTAATAATTTTCAGTCTTTGCTGCAGTTCTCTTTCGGTGATCTTCATAATTTTTTATTTATTTATTTACTGAATCCTCCTCAAACTTTCCACTGTCTCCTTGGAAGCAAAACATTAAGAAATGAGGGCTGATTAGAGGCTTTTGCACAGAACTACTGGGTGCGTCATTAAGTGAATTAAAGATCAAATTTCTGTAATTTTTTTCATTCATGATGTTTTAAAATAGCCCAGTCTTAATTTCAGCATTATAGTCTGTATCCTAAATCATCCTCCTCTAATCTTTAGACTATTGCTAGAAACTAAGTGCTTACTTTGGGGATTCGCTTTTCAAATATAGCCTGCCTCAGACGGAGCTCCTCTTCTAATGCAGTAATTGTATGGGATAGACCTCCAGCCAGTGAAAACCCAGAGGGACTGATTAGGTGAGAGACTGTGACTTAATTAAAGTCAAGTGCACCAACGGTGACAATATGAAGATCGGCAGCATTGTTGATAAACCAGATTACTGCTCAAGCATGAGGGGAAAACTGTCTGTGGTTTTGTGCTGGATCTTGCTGTTGTTTTTAACAGTCTAATAGCAGCAGAATTACTCATCTGTAAATAAATACTCATTATAAACACCTCATATAAATTTATAAAACTATTCCCACAGTGAACTTTGCACCATTTTCATTTGTAAATTGTGCAACGCAGCTGGAATGAATTTAAACATATTTTAAGGACAATGGATAATGTTTTGCATTATTTGCTGTTACTTCAGCTTTGAACTTTATCTCTGTTTTTTACTCCTCATAGATGCTACATCTGGCCTGTAGTTCTTTTTAGTTGAGATACTGCAGCTAACAACTTAATGTTCTCAGTTCATACATGATAATAGGCTGAACTTCTACAGCAAATTATTTTTATGTAGTCTCTTTCGCTTCCTTTAGGTTTCATAATATAAAAAAACTGACAGGAAGCAGCAGTCAGCATGTTCTTATACATTGTCGGGTTTTCTGTTTCGCACTAAAACTCAGACTGAATATATGAATGTTTTTCTGCTCGAGCTCGAGTTGATTTCCTGGGAAAAGGCCAGAAAACTGAAATTCAATGCGCCTGGTCGTGTGTATTTTTGTCCACCAGATGGCGCCGCAACAGCGCTTCTGTAAGATTTGAACTGGTGAGTTCAAAGACATTGTTCTTTCAGGTCCGTAATGTAATTCCAACTTGATTTTTAAATATTTTACATCGTTTTTACTAGTTATTGTTTTGGGGAAAAATTAAAAACACTCAGTGGGACTGATATTTGTTCTTATGTGTCACAAACATTTTGTATTCTTAGTACATGCAGTTGTGTAGCTGTGGGTTGGTACTGAATCTGAACGCACCAGAATCATAGCACCGTTGTCAGGAGATACGTTGCTAACCTTCTACCTCGAACACACGGGTTAGCTTCAAAGTAGAAGGAAATACTTGAGTCCTGTAACATTTTCCAACAACAAAAATAAGGTAAGCAACAGCATAACTGGTTTCTAATCATCAGTGCTGCCACACGTTGTGTTTGCGACGTAACCAAGTCCTGGTGATGCAGGAAGCTAACGGACAAATCAATGGCAACCTGTTGTTCAGAGCTGTCACTTTTGAATTTTAATGCTAGCTAGGTTAGTCTGTGGATGAAACTATGGATTATAAGATAACAACTAAGTAATACGAACATGCTTTGGTTACTAAATGGCGAATGAATTTGTGGAACCTTTGTAAATTGACGGAATAATCATGGTACTTTGAAGTTAGCATAGTTGCTAACAGTTATGCTATTGTTTTGGCTGTTTCAGCCTCATGGATGATGTCATTCTGAGATTTCAGGCTGAATATTTGTACCTTACGCTGACTTAGAATCACCCGACCTTCTCGGACGCTGACTGGGGACAATTTTAATGTCTTAGGGGACATTGTTGCTGTGAAACAAACGGATGAGTTTAACTTGTGTCCTACTAACATCGACACAGTGGTCGGTGTGCAAAAGAAAGTATATATACTCTATCAAGTCTAGAAGTTTGTATTTTTATCTGAAAATATAAAAAATAGGGAAAACTTTCAGCTGTGGTTTTTGAATTAATCAGATTAAATCAATAATCAGAAAAAAAATTCAAAAAAACTAAGAATAATCAGATTATATTTAGCAGTCGTCATATTTGGTAAATATAAGTCAGAATATTATGACTTGTCTGTTATATAGATCATTGTACTTCCAGTAAAGTTTTATAAATAGCTGGAAAGCACAAGGGGTTAACATTGTGTGCAGT